TAATACTAAATAAATAAAAATAAAAAAGTAAAAAATTAGCCAGGCATGGTGGCACACACCAACAGTCCCAGCTACTTGGGAGGCTGAGGCGGGAAGATTGCTCGAGCCCAGCAGTTGGAGACTCCAGTGAGCTGTGATCATACCACTGCACTCCAGTCTGGGCAACAGAGCAGCCCCTGACTCTTAAAAATGAAAACAGATGCCAGATAAGGGCTGCCCTGGGTATTACTACTGATAAACCCAGGGAGAACAACAAAAAAAAAAGTTTTTCTAAGTTCTTATCCTCAATTCCCACCTTAGAATATATTTTTCTTTTCTGGAAACTCAATAAAGGACTAGAAAAAAACTTACATCAGTCTAGCTTTGCCACCACAAATCAACATTCTTGAGGGAATTAAAACGTGCTAGGTCAGACATAACAATATTAAGCAGTAATTACTAAGGATAATCAATTACCAACGTAGAAATACAAGTTCACAAGAATCAGACAGATGAGTATAGACTTTGTGTTAATTAGCACACATAACCTACTAAAAGCAAGTTCAATTCACGATAATTTGGATTTCCGAATAGCACTAAATTTTTGTTGACTAGCGAAGAGGTAGTTTAACAAATCAGAGGTCAAGCAATCAGTAGGAGAACTGAAAAACTCTTCACGGTTACTTCACAGTAACTTCACAGTTATGCAAACTCGAAGGTCTCCCGACTAATTTCAACAATCTGTTCTATTACATGCAACACTGCTTCTAAGTTCCTCTTTGGAACTTAAAGGAAAAATGTTTAAAGGAAAATCCGACTCCCTACAACTTACACTCATTTGCTTATAGTTTTACAAAAAAAAAAAAAGTCACACGGAAACATCAACTCCATCATCTACACTAACAGCTCTTCCTATTTTAAAAGTTACCTTGTCTTCTTAGTAAGCTAGAGTCCAAGTACTAAGTTAAACCACAAGAAATTGCAATTTTTGTCAAATATTAGCAATTTCATATAGTTCAGCCTATATGTCATCTAATGCTAAAAGGATCATGAATTATAACATGGCTACTAATTACTAAATGCTTTAAGAATTTTGCTTGAAATAGGCTTGACAAGAGATGTAACTTCATCCTTTCCAGGGAAGCAGGAGGCTGACCAGTGCAGATCATCCACACGGCCACGTACATCCTGCTTCACTGCTGCTTACACTCCGCTGGGTTTTGATTCTTCTTCGGGTCATAGTCTGGACCATTTTCCTTATCTCCTTCTTCTTCCCCTTCCTCATTCACTTCTTCACCTTTTTCATCATAATCATTGTCATCATCTTCAATAGCTTCTCCAGTAAAGTATAACACTGATCTTGGGATTATACGATCATGTAAAAAGTGACCAATTTCAAAGTCTGCAGCAAGGATAGCTTCAGCAGCAGCAGCCAGATCTCCACTCTCAGGAACTTCAGGAGGTGCAAAAAAACTAAAGAAAGAGTCATTGGAAACTGTTTTAGTCACAGTGCAAACTGTCCCACATCCCTTATGTTTCTGCTGCTTCTTAATTGTTTTCAAAGTGACATTCTTTCCTTTTTTCCGATCTCTCTGGCACCCTGTACAACCCATAATTTCTGGTCCATCAAAAGAAAAGGGATCAGAATCATTTGGTTCTGCCCTCATCCTATATGTCTTTGTCAACACTTCATTTGTGAAATATTCATTGGGTTCAAAGTGAAATTCTAAGACAAAACTCAGAGGCTGGCCAGCGACTGAGAACTTCACGTTAATATCTTTCGAGTGTTTCAGAAAAGGCATCGTGTTCCTGAACCACATCACTGAGCAGGTCAACATTCTTACGAACAGTCAACCAAAATTCAGGAAGTCCTTTGGGATCTTCCTTTTCTTCATCCTTTTTCTCATCTTCAATCCTGGCCTTTTCTTTCAGCTCCTACAAAATTTCATTGTCTTCATCTGTTTTCCACTCTATTCTTCTTCTGTAGGTCTGTAAATTGCATTAATAATCTCGAATCGCTTGTCAAATAGAGGCTGACAGAGAGCAGCATACTTCCTTTCAAGACCATGAACTTCCTCGCAGAATTTGGCTTCTATCTGTGCGCATTTAGCTTGAAGGTTTTTGAGAGCATTCACTTGTCTTTTCACTACCCGAGGCAAGCTTTCAACGCATCCTGCTGCTGTTTCTACCAGACTACCAAGTCTTTCTTGAAGGGCTGCAAGAATCTGAGGATTTTGCATCAGCTGAACAGTCAGCAGACACGCTTTGATTTTCGTTTCTTCGTCAGTTTCTTCTTCTTCTACTTCTTCAGCATCATCCAGATCTTGATCAAGCTCACACTGTTCTTTGTCGTCAGTGTCTGCCATGGCGTTAAGATCTCTAGTACCGGCGTCTAGTACAGGGAGCC